ACACTTTATGAAAATCAGCTACATTTTTCTACTCACGTATTTATCAAGGTAATAAAATACAAGATATGGACCAAGGGAAAACTTGCACATATTTCATAACCAACAAAGAACTTTCACCTGAATATCATAAGAACCCTCAAAACTCAATGGAAAAAAACAACAGAATTCATCTATAAAACAGGCAGAGCCTTGTGTGGATGGATATGTTGTACAGGAGGGAAGACATACATGATGTAAGCCCATGAGAGGACACATTCCACCAGGATCTTTCAGGGTAATTCACGTCAACCACAATGAGGTGCCCTAGACACTCATCATGGTGGCACAGGTATGAAAGAAGCACTGAGCAGAACATCCTGGGGAGCAGGCAGGACACTTGGGCCTCAACCCTGCAAGTAGGAACGAAAAATGAAACAGAAGCCTTGGAAAATAATTTTTCTGTTCCTCCTGAAATTAAAGATGGATGACCTACCAGGGGACCTGGAAATCCCACTGCTCAGTGATTGCTCCAGAATAAAGAAACCTAATGTTCTTGTAAAAATGGCATGTGATGAATTATAGGGTCTTCATTTCTGTTAGAAGCCTAGAAAACCCCCAAAAGCCTTTGTGATTTAAAGAATAATCCCAGGAAGAAAACATCCATCAATGGGAAAGGATTCTGCGATAAGACGTCACACTATTGATGCACCCACCATCCCAGGGGAACCTCAAGGACATGCTGTTCCATGAAGCTCAGCAGTCTCGGAGATGACAGGCCGTGCAGCCTGGGGCATTCGTACAGCCAGGCCAGGGTCACAATTGTTTGGTTGGGCTTTTTCTCCCTCTCTCTTCCCTAAACCCAGATGATGAGCTCCTCTGCATCAGGCTGCATGTTACCCTCCTGTCCACAATGTCCTCAGGTATGGAGTCTCCACGCACTGAAAGAAAACCACGTCTTGTCCTCTGATGGGGGGTTCCTGAGAGTCTGACTTGTTTTGTGATAGGAACTGTCCCTCCAGCATCTCTGGCTCTGGCTCTCTCCTGCAGGTGAGCAGGACTAGGTTAAGACACCTCCACTGAGTCCATCTGTCTCCAGCTACTGTCTCTCCCCACAATCTGAGGTCTAGACCTTCCTCTCACTCAGGCGGAAATGAGGTCAAGTGTTTGGGAACAGAGTGAAGTCACAGTTTTATTCAACTGTCTGCACTGTTTGTTTTCTATAGAGAAATAAATACAGAAGAACTTGTCCAGATTAAAAAAATCATACTTTATATATTTATTTAGAGAGAAAGAGAAGAAGAGGAGTAGGAGAGAGACAAAGAAAATCTCAAGCAGATTCCCCATGACCAGAGCCTGACTTGGGGCTCAATTCCAGGACCCTGAGATCACGACTTGACTCACAACCAAGAGTTAGATGCTTAACCATGTGAGCTGACCAGGCGACCCATCTCTGAGCAACTGTTTAAAGAGAGATTTGTGTTTGTTATTACTGTGTTTTGTCAGACTTTCTATTGAGGTTAAGAGTCCCTTCTGTTTTTTGGAGACTAAATCCATCTCAGTATATAGTTGAACACACTGTCTCCCATTTCATAGGCTGCCTTCTTGCTCCGCTAATATTTGTCCTGCACACTTTGTGCATGAGGTAGCCTCACTCATCAGTCTTTGTTTTTTTGATTGTGATATTAATGTTATATCAAATAAATCATGAAATGCCTGAGTGGCTCAGCAGTTGAGCGACTGCCTTTGGCTCAGGGAGTGATCCTGGCGTTCCGGGATTGAGTCTCAAGTCGGGCCCCCTGCATGGAGCCTGCTTCTCTCTCTGACTGTGTCTCTGCCCCTCTCTGTGTCTCTCAGGAATAAATAAATCTTAAAAGAAAAACAAATAAATCACGGCCAAGCAAATATCACGATGTTTTCCCCTTAGTTTACATGTATAAGTTCTAGGGTTGAGACTTCCCCTTAACGTTTTAATCCCTTTTGAGCTTTTCTGTGTCCTTGTATCTGTGTGATATTTGATAAGGACCAAGTGTCATTATTTGCATGAGGCTGTCCAACACCATTTTGCAATAGAGACTATCCTTCCCCACTGTGTATTCTTAGATATCCTGTGGTTGAAGGATTTCTGACTGTATATGCACACGTTAACTTCTGGGCTCTGTAATGTGCTCCTGGTCTCCATGTCTGACGTTAGGCAGTCACACACTGAAATAGTTAATGTGTGACTAAAATACATTTCTGTAGAGAGATGTGTGATGTCTGACTCTTCTAATTTCTTAAACTGTATGGTGACTTTCATGTGATTTTCTTTTCCATATGAATGTGGAGTTTTTCTATTATGTAAGAAAACAATTGATATTTGATTAACTTAATCAACATTAAAATCATTAGAAAAAATATATTTGTCTACTTATCGAAGCAAGAAAAATACTCAGGGAGATGTAATAAGTATATGGAAAGTAAAAATGAAATTTAACTCATAGGCACTCTAGGAAAATAGGTAAGTCTTCAAACATATAATAAAATTCCAAAGAGAAGAAATTACTGACACCAAAAAATAGAAAGGACTATGAAAAAAATTCTAAAATTTTAATAGTGCAAATAATGGATGACCAATGCAAATTTCAAAATTGCTAGTATTATCAATAAACTAAAAGTGTTTCATGAAGAAGTAAAAAAAATTAACAAAACAGCACTAATATGAAGCCTGAAACCATTAACTAAAAATTCTGACTGGAGCAGCCCAGGTGGCTCAGGAGTTTAGCTCCACCTTTGACCCAGGGCCTGATCCTGGTGAACAGGGATTGAGTCCCACGTCGGGCTCCCGGTGCATGGAGCCTGCTTCTCCCTCTGCCTGTGTCTCTGCCTCTCTCTCTGTGTGTCTCTCATGAATAAATAAAATCTTTTAAAAACATCTGCCTCGAAAAACACAAGGAAAATTTTTAAAAGAATAATGTAATAAAAAAACAAATTCAGATGGCTTTATCTATGAATATTCAAAATATTTTAAGAATTAAGGCCAAACATTTCAATGTCTTCCAAAACTTATTTAGAATGGACCATGACCAAATTGATTTAAGGAGGCCAGAATGACTCTGACAAGAAACCCACACCACGGACCCCACAAGAAGGGTCTCATGGATAATATCTCAGATGCACATAAATGCAAAACTCCTGGCATCCTCATCCAACACCATATGGACAGATCACATAGCATGACCTAGAGGAAATCATCACTGGGATGCAAGGATGCTTCAACACGCCCAGACATTAATGGGCCCCTGTATTAACAGAATGAAGGATTGGATGTACATGATTCTTTCCTATGTTGCCTAAAACCGCTTTACAATGTCTAACACGCTTTAGCTTCAAAACATCTTAACTGTCGAGGCAAGAGATCGCCTCCATGAATTAGTCACATTTTATGAAAAGCCCACAACCAACACTGCATTCAAAAGTTGAAACCTGAAGCCCTTCTGTCAAGTCAGGACCCACACGGGGGTCATTCCCACCATGAGTATCCAACATGTTTTACTGAAGGAGAATGAACTGTGCCACCCCATATGTCAGCTGGCTCCCTGGATTATTGTGAATAAAATCACAGGAGAATCATCCAGTGGACAGAGAGGCTGAACCTCTTATGTCACCTTGATGGAAGGAAATAAATCTCATGTGGGAAAATTCCCTTTTCCCTACCAGGATGGGTGAACCATCCTCAGTACCAGAAAAGTTTGTAGGGTCCAGAAGTCTGTGCAAACAACCCTTGTCAGTTCTTCAATAATTCAATGACCCAAACCCATTATCCTGGCCTTATATCTCCACAAAACCAATGTCTTGTTGTGCAAGATGCACAAGCGCTGCCTACTTTGGTCGTTGTCTGCGTGTTGTGTTCCATGGAGCTCATGCACATGCAACATGAAATACTTCTCCGCTGAGGTCTGTCACATGTCTGCAGAGTAATTAGTCCAGATGAATAACCAGGAAGAAGAGAAGGAAGCCCGTACTGTGGCAATGACTGGAATTCCAAACCAGGAATGTTAGGAAACAAAGAATAACAGATACTTAAATCAATAGATACAGAAAAAATTACTTGTACCCATATGACATGATCTGTTGCAGGGTGAAACCCTACAAGCTCCAGAACCAAACCCTTAGTTAATGAACAACTTCAGGGAATCAGTAGAATACAAAATCAACATACAAAGTAAATCTAGGTTTCCACATGGTAACAACTAATTATTTATATTTTAAAGATTTTATTTATTTATTTTTAAATAATAAATTTATTTTTTATTGGTGTTCAATTTGCCAACATACAGAATAACACCCAGTGCTCATCCCGTCGAGTGCCCCCCTCAGTGCCCGTCACCCAGTCACCCCCCCCCGCCCTCCTCCCCTTCGACCACCCGTAGTTCTTTTCCCAGAGTTAGGAGTCTTCATTCACGAGACACACAGAGAGAGGCAGAGACACAGGCAGAGAGAGAAGCAGGTTCCTTGCAGAGAGTCCAAAGTGGGACTGGATCTCTGGACTCCAGGATCACTCCCAGTGCAGAAGGCAGAGCTCAACCGCTGAGCCACCCCAACATCCATAACAATAAAGTATTTCAAAGGTAATTAATAAAACCTTATTACATTGACACCGGTGTTAAGAATACAATATGTAAGATTAAGTATTCTGAAGGAGGTAAAATACTGTCCACTAAAAGAACCTACATTGATGAGAGGTTTTTAAAAAGTCAAAAGGAAATGCAAAGGCAGTTTTTTTCATAGATTTGAACACTTCATAATGTCAAAAGACATTACACACAGTGGCCTAGAGATGTAAAGCAATCCTTGTTAATAACTTATAAAGAATCACATCTAGGTCTGGTGCTGATTATATATTCAAAGGACATGCAAATAGGACCCTCCCTCCACTGATTAAACCAGCCCAGCCCCAACCCTGCAGCTGGGAGAGGAGCCCCAGGCCCAGGATCCCCAGGTGACCCCGTTCAGTGATCAGGACACAACACAGACAAACCACCATGGAGTCTGTGCTCGGCTGGGTTTTCCTTGTCGCTATTTTAAAAGGTGATTCACGGAGAACAAGGGATCTTGAGTCTGTGAGAAGAGATGAGTGAGAGAAACAGGGGATGGGGGACACTTTCCTGACCAGGATGTCTTGTGTCTGCAGGTGTCCAGGGTGAGGTGCAGCTGGTGGAGTCTGGGGGAGACCTGGTGAAGCCTGGGGGGTCCCTGAGACTCTCCTGTGTGGCCTCCGGATTCACCTTCAGTAGCTATGCCATGAGCTGGGTCCGCCAGGCTCCAGGGAAGGGGCTGCAGTGGGTCGCAGCTATTAGCAGTGATGGGAGTAGCACATACTACACTGACGCTGTGAAGGGCCGATTCACCATCTCCAGAGACAACGCCAAGAACACGCTGTATCTGCAGATGAACAGCCTGAGAGCCGAGGACACGGCCGTGTATTACTGTGCAAGGGACATCGTGAATCGACCTCAGTTTGAGCCCAGACACAAACCTACCTGTAGAAGGGGATCGGGACCACCAGGGGGTGCACACTCCTCACCACTTCTATCTTGAAGGCCCAGGAGCAGGTGCAGATGGAGGTTCTGGGCAGGTTTCCTGTCGGGGTCTGGGCTTCCTCTCCATGGAGCAGTTTCCCCAGGGAGCCTCTCTAGACCAGGAATCTGTGCTTAACTATTCATTTTCTGATTTTAAAAGTTAGATTCTTTAGGAAAACAGTTACTTTATATGCATGGAAGGCAAAGGTGCTTAAACTTATTTACCACTTCCCTAAATATGAAAAATGTACAAATATCTCAATGTATCTCAAGGGTTAGAGGGATCCGGGGATCCCTGGTTGTCGCAGTGGTTTAGCATATGTCTTCAACTCAGGGCATGATCCTGGAGTCCCAAGTTCGAGTCCCACATCAAGCTCCCTGCATGGTGCCTGCTTCTCCCTCTGCCTGTGTCTCTGCCTATCTCTCTCTCTCTGTGTCTCCCATGAATAAATATCGCTTTTAAATGGAGGCATCTACAATCCATGCATGAAAAAAATAATACCTGACATGCTAAAAAATGAGAAGAATGACCACATAGAAATGGCCAAAATTATTATAGAAGTGGACCAACGACTCACCCAGAATATGAAGTGGAATGTATCCCCCTGCAAGTTATCAGCTGATTCTGTGGGTCACGTGTGTGCTTGTACAGGGACCAGAAGGTTCCACTGGATATATGAGGATCCTCAGGGTGAGGAGCTCAATTGGAGGAGCCTTCCACTTCCAGGATGTAAATCATTGACCCTTCAGGTGCTGATATCAGCCCAGTGTTTGTGACCTCTACCTTCCCCGTGTTGAAACCTATCACCCATGTGATGGACGGAGTTGGTGGGGACTTAGGGAAGCACTTAGGTCAGGAGGTTGCAGCCTCATGAGAGGACCAGGGTCCTTATACATCAGGCCTGGGTAAGCTCACTGCCCCATGGCCTAATGAGAGTTGACGAGAAAAGGAAGGGGTAGGACGTGGGCGTTCTCCAGACACATCTGCCTGCACCTGGACCTCAGATGATCCAGACTCCAGAGCTGTGAGAATGAGTGTCTGTTGCTTAATCCACCGAGTCTGGGACTGCAGTGACATCACCGAGAAACACTTAAACAGGGACTCACCTCTGATTTGTCCTTTACAACGTGGTCCCAGGAAAACACTCAGCTTATGACAAAACAGAGCAGGAAACCCACACCTGGACTCACTGTCCTCAGCCACCATCCATGCCCCTGTGCTTAGTTGCTGTGCATCATATCGGTGCCACACATTCTTCCTACAACCCTGTGGTTCTTTAGACCCATTAGTATCCTGGGATTCCTCCCTCCTTACCACCTACGCGCCTTCAAGCCAGCACATCTCCATGGAAGCGGACATCAAACATTTCAGATTTTCCTCTCTGCTGCTCTTTAATACTATATGCAGTATTCTGGATCAGCCTCCCTCCTGCCCTCATCACCACAGCTTTATCTCCCCATGGCAACATCCACACCTCCTACGTCCAAATGGTGGTCGATTTTCTACGTGTCCACTTGCAGTTTTTGTTCTCCCAGACCTCTGAGTGATTTCATGGATGATCAGAATGATTCGATAACTGCCTATCATGTTCCAGGAATGAGACAAGCTCAGAAACCCTGATCCAGCATCTTAACTCCTCCTTCCTAATGCTGTTATAGCAAAGAACGTGTGGGGAATTCCCTCCACTCTATATGCTGATGATCAAACAGGGATTCTGGAATGTTATTTCAAAATCACCTAAATTTAGTTCCCTCCCAACTCTTATCTCAGTCCTGTGGATTAAGTTGCTGCTTGAGTGTATGTTGTAAAATTATTATATTATTCTGCAGTAAGTAATGGTGAAATGTGTGATCCATGCACATATTGTCCCTAATGAGTGACATAGAGAGGAAAGCACCTCTCAACATGTGACACAGGTTTTGGGCAGGAGGTCGGGCGTCCTCCGCAAGGACAAGAATTGCGGGGATATTATTATCACAATCTATATCTTCATTCTATTGGGGTAGATATGCTATAGATGGTGTGGGCAGCTGGCAGTCTCTCAAATGCACATGATCCTTTCAGGGATGGAAATTGCCGGAACTGGGGGCAGAACAGAAGTCCTGTCTCATTTGGCAGGGTCAAAGGGACTGACATGAGAAACCCAAAATTTGAGATGGATCAGAGCAGCAAACTGGAATTGAATTCCCTAAACTTGGTATTTGCCCTAAGTCTCTGTATTCCTCTGTATGTACAAAAGCCAGTTCTATATCCTGCTCCAGAATAACAGCTTTATGATAATTAGGTCACATAGGGTGTTGGGTCTGCATTGAGAGTGTCTGTGGTGTGTGCTGCATGCACTGTGCTGTCCTGTTTGGCTGCTATTTCCTTCAGGCCAAGTGTCTACACAGGCCCTCCTTGCTTGCAGTGGGCATTGTGTGGTGCCTGGCCAACATGTGGTGAGTTTTAATGGGCTGTGCTCTGCTCTTCTTGTTAAATGAGCCCTGATACCACCTCCACTAGAACTGAGGCCCTGCTGAATTCTCTGCTTAGGAGATGTGGGTGGGCAAGGGTGCAACCGATCTGGGAAACCAGATGGTGTGACATCAAATAGGAAATAGTCGGGCTACCGTGGGATCCAGCAACTGCACTACTGGGCATTTACTCTAAGAATACAGAAGTACTAAGGTGCCTGGGTGGCTCAGCAGTTGAGCGCGTGCCTTCAGCTCACATCGTGTTCCCAATCTGGGGATTGTGTCTCATGTTGGACGCCTGGGGGAGCCTGTTTCTCCCTCTTTGACACTGCCTCTTTTAGTCTCCCATGAATAAATACATAAAATCATTAAGAGGAAAAGAATTCTAAGACACCTGGCTGGCTCAGTGCTTGAGCATCTGCCTCTGGCTCATGGCTTAATCTCAGAGTCCAAGGATCAAGTCCCACATCGGACTCCCTGCATGGAGCCTGTTTCTCCCTCTGCCCGTGTCTCTGCCTCTCTTTGTGTATGTGTTTCTCATGTATAGGTAAATAAAATCTTCAAAAAAAAAAGAAAATAGAATACAAAAATACAATTCAAAGGGACACTTGCACCTGGATTTTTATAGCAGCATTATGTACATTAGCCAAACTATCGAAACTATCCGTACATGGAATGAAATCTTTTTTTAAAAAACTTTATTTTAAGATTTTGGTTACCATTTCATTTTGTTTTCTTAACAAGTCTACTGTTTAATCTCTCAGGATTAAAAAAACAGTTATTAAGAATCTAAAGAATTAAACAACAAAGGATTGTCAAGGGAAGGGCACAAATGCCCCATTCGCTGGGGTATAAGACCTATTCCAGTTTAACACCTAGCTTCAAAACAAAATGAATTTTTATATTTTCTAAATGAAATATTGTACTACCACCACCTTCTAACTTTCAAACACAAAGCTTTGTTTTAAGCTTGGTAAAAAACTTTTAACAGGAATGATGGCCGACCTTGGTATGTAGTGTGTACCTTACAGGAAATTTTTTTAACAGTCATAACACAGTAATAATGCCATTAATGAAGTCCTCAATTTAGAACATGCAACATTCTTCCATAAAGGGTGGGAGGGGGAAATTCAGTCCAATGAGTCTATCTCAAGATCTTCATCTCTAGTTTTCTCCACTTGTATTCTCTTTTCAGTAACTGGATTAATGCTTTGAGGCCAAAATGAGATATATTTTTTATTACTGTAGAATATATGTTGTTTGGCTGGGAACACAATACAATAAACTTTATTTTGCATAATGCATTTCACACGAGCTGCATCTGAAATGCTTTACAGAGCAAAACTGTCCAAGTACAAAGTTTTGTAATAACAGGAGAAGGAAAGAAAACACAAATATTAGAATTTGAGAAAGTTACATTTGGAGGACATTCAAAAAGAAACTGAAACACATAAAGATAACTTTGAGATACTAAAGAAGGGTTGGGCTAGTTGTTAGGTTTTTTGGTAACTAAATGGAAATGAGACCGCCAAGGCAAGCGAGGGTCCAAGAACAGATTTTATTGCAGGCACCCTCGGGCGAGGTTCCACGACTCACGGAGGGAAGAGTGAGTCGGGGAAGTCGCGCCAAGACAAGGTGGCAGGGGGTTTACATAACGTTGTAAGGCAGAACGGTTTCCTATTGGTCTGCTCATATGCAAAGGAAGGATTGCAATCCAACCAGTCAGAGTGACCCTCACTATGCAAAGGAAGGATTGCAGTTCGGTCAGTCAAAGGTGACTTCCTCCTCTGGGGTTTGAAGGGCATTGGGTCCGGTTGGGTAAGTCCAAAGGAGAGGTCTAAGGGTCTGCGTCAAGCTGTCAGCAGGTCATTGGTCCATTGGCGTCCCAGGTGGAGGTGGTGACAGGAACCTCAGCCATTTGGGGTATCCGCCATCTTGAGGAGTTTCTCTTCCCGCCTGGCCCCAACACTAGTTTCATCTGCTTTAGGGGAGTCATTTAAAAACTGATCTAAAACTCAAAAGTGAGTAATCCCTGTATCCTGTTAGGATTTGACCATTTCTGTAAATATTAAAGTTATTTTTGTTACCTATCCTTTTCTATCCTTTCACTGAAAAGTTGCTGGACTGTTTGTTGCTTTTAACTTTATTGTGCTCCCCAAATTAACATGGAATGAAATCTAATCCATTTGGAACTATGGGGATGGAGGTAGCAAGTATAATGCTAAGTGAAATGAGTCAGTCAAAGTAAGGCAATCGCTGTATGATTTCAGTCATATGCAGATCTGTCATTAACGAGCTTGTAATGTCTCCTTTTTTTGGAATGTGACAACGTGCTTGGGGTAAAGAAATGGTGTGAACCCCATGGATAAATTTCTCTGTCCCTGTCTCCGTGTGAGAATCACAACCATCACATTCTGGTAGGACACTCATGAACTCACGGTCCCAATTCCTGGCCTGAGATGTGTCAGGTTCAGGCTCAATCTAGGTCAGGACATCATCCTTGCCATCACCGCTTCAGTGACGAGTTCCTGCAGAGGTTCCTCCCCACAGGGCCCTGACCTGGGCCAGTACTGGTGGTCACCACAACACAGGGCAGTGGTGGAGCATGCAGGACCCCAGGACCTCAACCCTGCCAGTTGGAAAGAAATATGAAACAGAAGCCCTGGAAAATCATTTTTCTGTAATGGTAATGAACTGTTTCTTCCTGGAACAGGAAGACGAGAGGACGGCTTTCCTTCGGGAGATTTATTTCACTTCAGAGGTCGGGCGGGTCAGCATATCTCTGCATTGGCTCTTTCTTGAGGAGTGTAAATCCCAGGGACACACGAGGTGTCATATTCTGCGCCCATTCTCAATGTAGTACTGCAGTAGAGACACTGCGATAAATACCCTGTGAGCCCAGACAGGGTCCTCCAAGCACAGTCGGGGTCTGGGCTGCAAGGGGCGCTCAGGACCACACAGAACAAGGCTGTTGCCCCAGGAGCAGGTGCACAGGGATCTGGAGAAGGCTTTCTCAGGGAAGATGGGGTCGCCTTGTTGGAGGAACTACATGAAATGCAGGTAGGACAGGGAGTGCTACAGGGTGTGTGATATTTTTATATAGAATGTTTCCATAAATAATACCTAAAAGTAAAATTTATTGATGGACAAAGTACGAAAAGATGTGATTACTAACAGTTGACTCTATCAATAACTACATGAATTGGTATTTAAAATTTCACTTCAATTATCTGCTTAGGGCCACTTAGATCAGCTATTTGGAGCAATTTTCACCTTTAGCTCTTTTCCTTGTAACATGAGTGTTCTAACATGGTTAGATAGCATGAAATACTAATGGTTAATAGTTCCATGTCGCTTTCTATGTTTGGGAGCAATGCCCCTTGTCCTAACATTGCTTATAGTGTAAGACCAGCCATGAAACAAATGAATAATTGTAATTGTTATTTTCATTTGCTTCTGGTATTTTCTCCATCCAGATTACTAATGAAAAGGGAATAGCTAAGAAAAAAAGGGGGGGGACAGCTTTGTAAATTCATATTACTGTGGAATTGAAGCCTCTTAAAATAATCAAGATTCTGGTTACTTTTCAAAATAATAATAATAGAAAACAAAATAATAAAACATGCTTAAGGTCCAAGCAATGATTTAAGTCGAAAGAATAAATTGGTCAAATATGTTACAATTGGGATGAATTCCTGAAGTCTATACCATTTAGTCATAAACTGAGATCTTTAGAGGTCAAATATGATACATGGAGTTTTCCGGTAATTATTACTCAAACTTTGAAAGGACTCTTTTTCATTAATATTTTTATTTGACATGTGCACTTCATGTGCAGATTTCTTCATTTCAATCAGCAAAGGAAATCATAGGAAATTTAATTGACACAGAAGCTCCCAAAACATTTTGTAATTTTATTATATTGTAGCAACCTCTCAACTATTTATATTACTAAATAAAAGAATGACACAGTGAATTGTGAACTTTTTAGGACAAATTTCATAAATTATCCATTTTTGTATCCTTACAGCTCCTAGTAAGGAGGAAATACTCATAAAAAAATAAATGTTACACTAAGTACAATTGCATTTGTA